TGGGCAATCCTACTTCCGTAGTGATACTGCCTCAGAAACCCAAGGAGGGGTCACTATGAGTCGGGGCCGACTCGACGGCACATAACAACAATAACAACATATACATACATACACATATATATAATAAAATATAAAGCACTTTTGAAAAAAAATGTAATTTTAATTTTTTATAAAGATTTTGACCTTACTATAAATTGTACATATGTATACTTAGAAAAATTAGTACTTACATTATCTGACTCTCCTGCTGCATCTTTTTCACTACAAAAAGCACAAGAAAAACAAATAAATTCAGCTTCAAAATGAAACTAGTAAGATTATTCAATAATCCAAAAATCTAAAATAGTTTGCTAGGAAGAATGTCCCCAAAACTTATTTCATTTAGTAATCTTAGGATAGCATTATAGAAAGATGGAAACATTCTAAATAAAATCATACCTTTATAAATATCAAGCACTTATAACCAAACATTTATAAACAGAACCAGAGTTATGCTCCATTAGCAGATATGTGAATTCACTAAACCAAAAACTAAAATTAAAAAAAAAACAACAAAACACTAACAACAACCAACACCACCATTTTTGTAAATAAAGGTCTATATATAAAACTATTCTATTGGTTTGAAGCAATTTGACTGCAGAAACCAAATCCTCCAACAAAAAAAAAATTTAGAAAAGATTATTTCGAAACAGGACTTTTAAAAATGAGCTAAACTCAGTATAATAGCATTTTAGTCCCCCTTTGAGACAATGGCCCAGTATATCATTTAACACTAAGATATCTTCTTTTCTCAAAGGGATGCAACAAAGACAGTAAGACAATTTTCTGTTAACTGAAAGTATGTGAGAAATAACTCAGTAGATTGATCCAAAATGTGGTGACAACTTCACAAAAACTTTCAACTCTCTTTTGCTTCCCCATGATACCAATAGATTTAAAATATGCTCCAAGGAAAAAAATAAGCAAAACAACTGTTAAAGCAGTTTCCTAGTATTCTAACTATTCTAAAGAACAAAAGTTTAATCATTAATTTTAAACTTAATTAGTTCCACAACTGTAGACAGCAGAAATAAAGTGGTGAGGATGCTTCTCTCCAACATGCGAGGAGCTCTACCACCTCCATTATCAACACTGCTTTATTTTGGGAGGGCTAAGTTGAAAAAATCTGATTTATAAGAATTGTTTACACACAAGGGAAGCAAGAATAATTATCTGAGCCAGAAAATAAGAACCTTGAATTACACCAGCACATACTAACCTTTCAACAGCTGGGACAGAACTGAGATGTGGATCATCCTTAAGCAAGTCATGACTACTTTTGCTTTTTCCCTTCATGCTCTGGAAAGGAAAGTATAATATAAGTGGGGAAAACAGTCCTCCAAAAAACACATTAGCAAATTTACAAAAAATCTAGTACTGATATAATGGAGTTACAAAAAATATGTTCCTGAAAAGTTTAGTATTAACTAGTTTTATAAATAATTAGTTAATACTAAACTTTTCAGGAACATATTTTTTGTAACTCCATTATATCAGTACTAAAAAAATATGTTCCTGAAAAGTTTAGTATTAACTAGTTTTATAAATGGGAGCTCTGGTAGCATAGTGGCTAAGACACTTGCCTGCTAACCAGACGGCTGGCGGTTCAAACCCACCAGCCACTCCTCGGAAGGAAG